TTGAAGATGGCATAGATTGTAACAAAACACCTTCTTCGAAACTTCTCCAGCCCGAGGTCGATGCGCCGTCAGAGGGTTGCTCCGCTGCAGGATTGGCAGCAGGTTGACCTCCTGCTGGATCCATCATGTTCAGGGTAGACTCATCGAGGCCCGAAAGAAGACAAAGAAGAATAATTAGGGGAACCTCCCAACCAAAAAGTCGAATGAAGAGTAATCGGACTAATCGAACCAAAGGGACTTGATCCCCCAAAAGATGGAAATCTAAGCCGATTACTAGAGCTAAGAAATAGCAAAAAATCAGGAAGAATAAAACGATCGAAATTCTGACCAAAGAATTAGACATTCGAAGACCCCAGTTACTCATATAAGCACCCTCGTACATCTCCCTCATCTTTTTGCAAAAAGCCGCTCCACGGTGGTAAAGTCTCATCTTGTGTGTTGGCCGAAGTTACAATAGTCACATTGAACCCTCGAATATGTTCGAAGATCTCGAAATGATCTTCCAGTTCCGGGGAGAATTCGCAAAACTCCGTTTCCATCGAGAATTGAATGGAGTTTTCCCGTATTTCGACCGGAGAATCTAACAGAGACATTACTGTCGATATTCTGACCGAAAAATTAGACATTCCATGCCCTCGGAGAGTGCTTTGTCGTGCTAGGTCACTGACATATCCTTTGTCTTTTTTTGACCCCAAGAATGGATTGGATCGAAACGACTTTCCTGTCGAACCCCTTTGTGTCTGTATGAATTTCTGACCGCGCGGAATCTCCATAGCCAATTTTCCATTTATTATTATTAAATCATAGGGTGCCTTAGGTACTAATCTTATTTCACACGATCCAGGAACTTCCATAACGTTGGCGTGATTCAGTTTGAGCAACGGATCCTGACGTGATACATCTTCGTAATGAAAATTGAGTGGAAACATAGTGATTGATTGAGACAAAAAAATTACCTCCAGACAGAAAGATAGTCTTTCCTGCACGGAGTAGTGAATAACTATAGAGAGATGTGCTTGGTTGTTGACCAACAGAAAGGATGCATGGGAAAAAGCTATCATAAATACTCAGATGGATAGAAAAAAGAGGAAAGCAATCCATGAACGCTAAAAAAAAGGGCCATTCATGGATTCTATTTCTTTTATTATTGCATTTAAATAGGTACTAGCCGACCCACGGTCGGTCAAATCCCTATGAATATCTGAAAGCTTCTTCCGGCGATAATTAACTGACAGCCCCATGGTGGCTGTGAAATAGGAGTCGACTCCCCTCTGAATGTCCTCATCTGTTATCGGATTTCCCGGTAAAAGGAACTTTTTCATTTCAATTACAATCGATTCCTGCTTTATTAAGGCATTTCGGTAGCTCACGTCTAGGGACTTATCTTCGCGTAATGACTCAATATTACGCAATTCACTGCTAAAATCCCGGACAGCCCGACCCTCCCCTTCTGAAGCTGAAGGACCAGGCTGATCTTGGGTTTCGTGAAATGCAGGCAGAGCCCCCTCTGGGGAAGGAGGTTGATTGAACCCCCCAGACATTCCTCCAGATGAAGAGGGGTAGAATTGTGCCACAGCTCTAGCGAGGTCTTCCATGAAGACATAACCTAGTTCCATTATTCCTCGTGAAAGAACAAGACTAAATAAGAATCCAGTTAAAAAATATAAAAGGTCTTTCCCTCTATTGGGAATTTTCCTAATAAGTGGTAGATTACAAAAAAATGTGAAACCTGAAGTGTCGCGAAAGACTGGGATGGGAAACAAAACGGAATGTACCGGATTTTTTGCACGTGCAACCATCAAACCAGAGACCAAAGCGGGGCTCGACAAAACAGAAAGTATCATGGTACCCTTAGTCCAAAAAGCCTTCCCGGAAATGGAACTTTAATGCTAGTTCTTGCTCCAGCATGAAAGTCAATCTATTACGACCAGCGCGGTTGTTCTTATTTAATTTTCTTCTTCCAAGCCTTACATGCACTAAGTTACTGACACTTACGGAATAGAAAATCTTACACTGTGCACTGACTATAGTAAACTTCTATTCGCATTGACCGTAGAAAGTTCCTTCCTATCATATTGCACTAACCAAAGTAGGTCGAGTTGACCTTCCAATGCATTCTTTTCGATCTTTAACTACGATAGACTGAAGACGAAGCCAATTTCGATAAAAGGTGAAGTCGAAGCTACTCGATCATTCAACAGGGACAACTGGAATCTACGCTAGGATCCAACCAGCGCTGCCAGCTTTCTTCTCTTATGAAATTGATAGTTACAGAAAGAGATCATTTCTAAACCGGAATCTTAGGATACCACCACTAATAGAAGGACAAGGACCGGAGACTTGAACACCAGCCAGATAGGCATTCACCAACAAAGACCAAGAGCGTCCTATCTTGTAATTAGTACTAAGAGCGGCTATGAGTAGGAGCTTGAAGCCTACCCGCAGTTGATGGTCTTGTTGGAATATGCGCTGTTCTCGACTCCGATGCTATTGAATCCGTAAGGTTTGTATTAGCACTCGCTTAGGTGCTAAAGGTAGATATGCAAATCACTTAGTCCTTGAACTAGGGTAGGGATATGGCCTAGTAATCAAATTCAAATAGAGTACCAGTACTCTACTAGTGAAGGAGGAAATCGTCTTTTACATAGAAGGTAATTCTTGGAACTAACTTTTCCCTCTGAGACTGGCATTAAGTTATGAAAAGTTGTGTTTTCTCGGGATTTTTGGCAGCAGCAATGGTCTTTCTGCCCGTCCCTTTTTCAATTTCAACTAAGCTTGGCACAGCCGCCTAAGAAATTAGGTCACGGTCGCGGATCAGGAGAGAGTTACTTGTGTGACGCATCTATATCTGGGGATGATCGGGTAGAACTCAGGGCTTTCGGGTGTAAATCGGGGAACGATCAATTGGGTGTCCGGGGTGCTATAAAGATAGGGGACGATACGCTTTGCCGTGCCAGCTATGAGGCTATATTCTCGTTGAGTCGGGCGCTTGGGAAGACTGTCCTGTCGGGTTGGAAAACCAACATCGGACCGGGATGTTGTTCCCTCCTTGTCTGAAAAGATTCAGGAAGAATCTGGTAAGTTCGCTCTACACTGTCCCTTAGATGGGGAAGGACATAGGCTCGGCACATTTCGTAGCTATCATCGTCGCGTCCGTCAAATTAAGGCAGGCGTTGGTACATTATACTGGGTGGCAGCTTTTCGGTACACGGCCTTGCGTTGTCGTCAGCCGTACGCCGTTGAGCAGCAGTCTTTAGAAGCATGTCATCTATGAATGATCCGATGAAACTAGAGATGGAATAAAACCTAGCTTTTCGTCACGCGATTCTTTGTTTGCGATTCTTTCAAGGAAGGCTCAGATCCAATATCGGTAGCGGAAGAATTAGACTTGTGTAAGCCTGAGGCCTGGACCATAAAGTCTAAAATTAAGTATAGGCCGGGGGGCAGCAGCAGAAGATTGGACTGGAACCCGAGAAGGACAAAAACTAGATATCTTTTGTGGAAGTTACTTACGATCGGGCTTCACTAATCTGTAGCACCTGAACTCCTGAGCTTGCTTGGGTGAGTGGTGGGATGATAAATGGACTGGTCGACCCTCTCAAAATTTTCCTGTGAATCAAGCCCTTCTTTAAAGAGCCATTTCGGTAGGTTTTAAATTGAGTCATTAGAGGAAAGGAATAGCAGACCGCGGAAAGCAAGCTACTCTCTCTAAACTAAATGGAAAAAGAGCTTATCTTATAGCAGCTCTCTCAGGGAAGCTTCCTTCGGGATTAACCAATAGGGTAGAGGTGAATCAGCTTTATTTCCTTAGGAGGACGTTTTTCTTGATTTTTATTGAGGTTGCCTTCGCACAACCGGCACAGGGTATTCATAGCTGCTGGTCTCGACCGGTTCACTAGAATGGTTGGAGCAACAGGAGCTCCTACTCTCCCTAGAAGCTGATGTTGGTTGTTGGCTAGGCTAAACTTGAACCACCGGGCTTACCCATTTTGAGATCATGCCTCCGTAGTTTTTGGTATTGAAGCCTTCCATTTCTCTGCGACTTCTGGAACGGATGGGACTTTTCCCTCTCCAACTGGACTATAATAAAGGAGGGTCGGCCCGGCCTGTGATCGTAGTCCGATAGCTATTCCTGCCCCAACTTAACCAATGGGGTCCGGTAGTCAGGGGTAAGAATGAACAGAAGGCGACTAACCAATCTCTCTTTGAAACCAGATGCCCGGAGATGTTTTATTCGTAGGGCTAGGAGATCGGTGAAGAGGGCCGGACAACCAAGCTAAAAGTTCTTCCATTACGGCTACTCCGAAATTTTGCACTACCACCTTATCCATCCATTACTGGAGACGAAAGCAGCTATCCCTAATGCCTTGCCCCTCTCCCTCCAGTCGGGAGCTAAACCCGGGGAGTGAGAAGAGAAGGAAGGGAAGAATCGGCTAGGAAAAAATAAGATTTAATCGTGTTAATGCTAAAAACTCAAATACCGGGTATTCTCCGACATTTTTAATATCTTATACTTGGTTCGAATCCAATTCCTGGTAAGGAAGGCAAAGATTCTAAAGAAATTCCTGGATGATGAACAAGAAGCACTGCAGCAGCAATAGCAAGTCACTTTGGAACGACCCGGCATCGAGGTCTCTACTCCCCAACCACACCACCTGGGGAAACCAAGCGAAAGAAGACAAGATCTAATCTCCAAGCACTGTCTTGTGCTCGTCTCGGTGAATGGACACAAAAGAGATATTTAATATTTTTATGATAAAGCATTCTGAATCGGCATGAGCAAAAGCCCCCGTAAAAGCTTCAACAGGAAAAGCAGTTCAGCAAGACAATGGAAGCAAAATCAAATAAAAAAAGAATTGGCGGAGAACGGAAGGAATTTACGAACGGTACGACCGGGGAAGCCTGCCTAGCAAAGCCAAGACTACCTAAAGCTAAGACTCCTTTTCGGGTGCTTCCGGTCTGGATTGATGCCTTTCCTTCTTTCCAGGATTAAGGATCTCCCAAAAGAAAGAATGAATGACCTCACCTCAGGAACAGTCAATGGGAAATCCCGCCATGCCATCGAGGGGCTAGTGTGACCATCCATAGCATACGACGGGCGAGAGGGGTACGTGGTGGCTCAGTGTGTCTACCAGTTTATGGTGAGGCTATTCGGAGATCCAGGGCGAGTCCCGATTCCATATATACGGTTAAGCAAGCCCAGCCGCCAGCTTCCACCCAGACGACAAAAAACGTGAGCGCCTGGCGCGAAAGGTTGCTTTGCTTTACTAAAAAAAAAGAATATAAGGCGCGTTAGCGCTTTAGTTTTCCAATAAGGGGCGGAGCGAGCCTAGAATAGCAGCCTATTACGTTACGTTTTCAGGCCCCTTTACTTTTTACTTTTAATTTTAAAAATAAAGCGCTAGTGCCCCTAATCCTATAGAGTCAGGCTCTTCTGCTATCAATGAAACCGAAATAAACACAAAAACCCAGTGCGTTTTGTATAGATCGAGAGTTGTAGCTGGATTCTTTACTCATGACATACTGGGAAGAATTGCAGGAAATCGTTCGATAAGACTTCTCACTACTATTTTAAAATGATATCCGACGATCAAGACAATTCCCGCGAACTCTTTAATTTCATATCAGTTTCTTCTTCTTCTTACAAAGCAAATAGCATTTCCTATTGATTTGTCCCCTATCCTATAGAGCTGGACCTATTATGATTCTTTCTGAATTATCCGTCGCTTATGCTGTTCCCAAGGACTAGCAAAATCGAAATAGCGAAATTCTTGGGTCATCTCAATGGGTTCAGAAACCACACGTTTCTCTGGATCATCATAGCGTACTTCTACATATCCACTCAGAGGAAGGTCTTTTCGTAATGGATGACCCTCGAAACCATAATCTGTTGATATACGGCGTAGATCCGGATGATTGATGGAAGAAACACCAAACATATCCCAAACTTCTCGCTCCCACCGGCCGGCTGATGGAAATAGACTGACTACCGGAGATATTCGTGTTACTTCGTCTGCACTGGTTTGTATAAGAATGCGTGAGTTATACCGAGTACTCAGTAAATTATAGACCACTTCAAATCTTCGTTTTCGAGAGGGATAATCAACTCCGCAAATATCGATCGAAACTTGAACCCTTGTATAGGTATGCAATTTAAGAAAGCACAAAAATTGAAATAGGTAGTCCGTTTTGGTACCATATCTATTCCCATGTTCCGATCTTTCAAAATAGTCAACCCATTTTCCGGGTAAAGAATACAAACAATATCTTAATAAGAATTGGCTATCCATATAAAGATAACGAATGCTTTCTCCTCGTTCATATTCTTTTCTTGCTCTAAAAAACTCGCGCCAGCTTGGCATGATTATATATTCACAGTAAAAGTTATCCGCTTTGCTTTCTTTTAGCAAAGACTTGTTGTAATGTAAATCGCCGGTTGGGTTTACCAACCAAGAAAGACATGGGATTTGGTGGGCAAAAAACTAGCTTTCTTCTCTCTCTTATGATATTTCTATTGCTTCAACGGCTACTTCTCTTCTCTATATGCAATTACTTGGCGTAACTGAACTCAACTAAGCTTGCATCTTACTTTAAGGTTTTATAGAACCTAAGACTCTTAGATAGATAGTTTCAAACCAAATGTGCAATTCCCCCCCCGACAATCCGAGTGGGGAACTAAACCAGCAGCGCTACGAACACTTTCAACAGAACGAGACCTGCCCCTATCCTATATAGTAAATTTATAAAAAATATAGAGTTAGCCGGACTTCCCTTTCCTGGGGATTGGTCTCCCTCTCTTAGTAGGAGGTTGACTATGTCCACAACAATTTGTGTAATATAAATTCAAGGCTCGTCGAGACCTCGACGTTTTGGATTTATTCCTAGGTGCAGGCCTGTCCTTCTTCTTATTGTAGTTGATTGAATAAGGCTTCCCCGCTTCGCTTCTTCTTTGTTCATTCGTAAATCGCGTCTTTTTAAGCCAGGTCAAAACGATTCGATTTTTATCTGAGTCTACGGAGATAAATCGCTCTTTAAGCAAAAATCCCCGGTTTTCTAAAACCTTATCGTGATGATCTCACTCCACGGAGGGAAAAGGTTTGTTAATTCATTCAAAAGACGGGCTTTCCTAGCTCATATAGTGGAAAGCGCCCTTCCCACATCGATCCCTCGAGGTGGAAGAATGATGAAACCTGCCAAGTAATATAGTAGTCATGCCCTTCCTAATCCTCTATCGAAGGAAACCCCTCCGAGGGTGAAAGAGGTGGATAACTTTCCTTGCCCCAGGGAGCTTCTTTGTTTATGTCACTAAGCGGGCAGGTCTCTGGAGTGTGCTTCTATCGCCCGAGCAAGAGAAGGGCTGCAGATGAGCTATCAAGTCGTGCATTTCTCCCGAAAGTGAGGAGAATGCCCCGGATATCCTCATAGGTGTCGGGTTTACCAGGCTAAGGTAACTAGAAAATTGTAGTTAGCGGGTTTCCCTCCTTCCATAGCATCTTGCTTTCCTGGGTAACTATTCGACAGACGAAACCCCTCGGTTTTATTCTTATCTTAAAGTAGCTTTCCTTTCGGGTTTGACCAAGATTCTTCCCTAGGGTGCTAGTTTGTTTATGTCACTAAGCGTGATAGCTTAACCGCGCTTCTAGCTCTATCTCTAAAAGGAATTCTTAAACCGGCCATGCCAGACAAGTACTGGTTTAAGTTCCGCCATCCCCTCTCCCAGTTGCTATGAATCGAGAGAGCCCAGTCGCTCCTCCTGCCTAAGGGCATAAATAGAGGCATCACTCGAGTTATGCCTCTTCTAGTAGATCCAATCCAGACAGATCTAGTATACGTACAAGAATCAGAAGGGGTCTTATCCCTAGGTGAGGGGATTGTGCTACTTGCTTTTCTCTTAGTTGAATTATGGGTCTTTCTCTTTTTCTTTCCTTTCTTGTTCCGTCCTGCGCTAAGCAAGCGAGTCTTTCATTCCTTGCTCAAGTAAGTGAGGACAAGCCCCTTTCGTTTATCCGGATCTCCCTATCCGGGGACTTATCCAACAACCTCTTATGGTAAACAATATCTTATGTACTCAGACGGGCCGCTCTACTCCCTGTGTTCTTTCAACGTAGCAAGGAGGCCGGCGGAGAATGCCAAGTCGGTCATTCACACTCAGTCAGAGTCCAATTTCCTAGCGGAATAAAGCCAAAAGGGAAGTTATGCGTCCTCACCTTTCAATCGAGCAACTGCGTTTCTTCGTCTTAGGCCTCCAACAGAGGTGTATTTCCTTTCAAAGTAAAAGAATTGAGGGGATTATCTCTCTTTTTTATACAAAAGGGCCAGGCATGGTTCACCAGGCGTACTAATTTCATTCGATAGAATGATGATAATTTTTATCGACCCTCACTCACTAGGGGAAGCGCGGACGAGTGGAAGACTTGGGTGTACGTAGTTCAGAAGACTATCTGCTTCAAAAACTACTCTTCCTCTTGAACTTCTTATTGTTTAGTTAGTTCAGTAGCTCTTTCAGTTCGAACTTGCCATTCCGAGTTGCTTCTCTCTGTTTCTGTGGTTAGTGAGTTATGGAGTTGGAGCAGTTATTCATTCTTTCTTGAGTTCTAGTTTTTAGAGCTGTGTGACTAGCTTCCATGAGCGGATAGGATCCTCTTCTAGGGCTCGTTTCGGAGTTAAACGAACGTTGTTCTTAAATAAATTATTCCCTTCCCCGAGTTAGACTTTTGAAGAGATGGGTGAATAGACACCAGTGGAATACCTTAAAAGAGAGCCGAAGGAAGAGAACTAGAGAGCTGGAGGGAGGGAAGGAATAAAATCCTCGATTCAAGACAGTATAAGATCCTAGAGTCTTTTTCGAATGCCCTTAATTTAACTGAGATCACCAATTAAGATTGAGCTTATGGTAAAGGTTGCTAAGCGAAAGCCTCTCTGCAATGAGGGAAAGCCACAGAAGCTGGCCTTACAAGATAGGGGGGCTGTCCAAAAAAGGAGATTCTTTGAGTTCATACCCAGTAGAAAGAAGGGCAGCTGCTAAGATCCCAAATCGAGATTGGCTAGATGGGAGTAGCTCATGCCCGGCTCGGGAAATGATGTTTGATAAGTAAGATGGATTCGTTCGTGAAAGAAAAAAAATGCAATGGTGGGAAATGAATAGAAATGGCTGGTATGTTTTAGTCTTTCCCCTAATGAGGTGCCGACATCTGTGTTAGTTCCTAGGAGTGATGTTACAACATCCCTTAGTAAGAGCATCCGAGATAGCCAAAGATCCGAAGGAGAAGCAAGAACAAAGGTGGTAGCACATTAGAATAATAAGAATTCAAATAAAATCCAGCTTAAAGCGCTCAAGGAACCCTATTTCATTTCGAGATCCCTACCCCACAGATTGAGACCGAGTTCCAGTTCCATTTTAATAATTTTTTTCTAAACCAGCATCAGTGACTATCTAAGCACCACCATAAAATTACGGAACAAACTTTAGTTTGCGGCAGTTACTGTTTTTATAGCCATAGTCTTTCTTTGGTTCGAAAGCGAGATTTAGATCTATATTTTATATAAACCTATGACGGAACGGAATGCAACTTTTTCCTATTGATCCAGTTTACATTTACTCAGTCAGTAGTTGGCCGTTGATTTCATTTAGTTGACCGAGAATCAGGAGCAGCACCATAAGGGGGAGGCAGCATCTGAGCTAGTTTCATCTGTCGATTGAGTTGAATCAGCAACAGAGCCGGTAGCCTCACCAATCTATATAGTTCTTTCTCAACCATCAGTCTTTGTAGATTTATTCCTTTCGTGCGTTCTTTTGATCTAGCCATAGTGACTCTCTATCCGTTGTGGGAGTGAGTGTTTAGGCGGGGCCTAAGAATGAATGATTTACGCGTTCCTTCGTTCATAGCACGGAGTGAGATGTCTATGTTCCCACCAGAACCTACGTACGTGTCAATCAAGGCCTTTTTTCTTTTTGCCTATGATGCCATGCCTGCTGTTACTTCACTCGGTCAATGGGGATAAACCACTGTATCTCGCTTTTTTTGATGCTACTTAGACTTGAATCAACCAACCGGATCTGTTCGATCTCCTGCGGCGAGTGCTGCTTCTTTGACCTGTGCTTCCTACGCCTTTGCCCGTGGGTCAATTGCTCTTGGTTTTGGCACTCTAAGAGAGAGGAGGGGGGATACCGTAAATCCACTCTGCTACAGGCTATTCAGCTAACCTTTTAGAAAAATGTCTTAACTAAAAAAAAGAAGAGAAGAAAGCCTCAGAACGAAAGAAGGATAAAGCAGAACTTGCGTAAGATAGAAAGATCTATTATCCCATTTCTTGCCTAAAAAAGGGGACCTACTCTCTTTTCTAAATCCAATCAATAGCCCGTTCCAGTCTAACGAGATTCCTCCCTTTCACCTTTCAGTCGATTAAGCAATTGATCCAGTCGTTGACGTTGCAGGTGATTCTTATGATTCCCGTCCCGGCCACCACCTTTTTATTTAAAATCTGGATCCATAATTCTGGCCGGTTAGCTACTGAGATAGCGTGGCTATTGATGGGTGTTGAATGATTCTTGATAACGTGGTTTAGAGCTAACATAGATTCAGTTGGGGTAGAGGTCTTGTAGAGCCTGATTGACCAGTTTCCCTGATGAAGAAGAAAAGAACTCGACTTTGCCAAAGACATATGAGGCATACTCATCTGAGTCTTCGGGTCCATAAGTCTATACTACCTCCTAAATAGGACTCATTTGGTTAAGCAGTAGATCCAGCTTATGACTCTATTAGATAGACGATGCTCAGATAATCCAGTTCTCTAACGTTAACTAAGAATACTATAAGAGGAGAGGAGAAGTCGACTCATGTACTCTATCTACGAAACCTGCCGTGCCTTTATCGTTGGGTGGGGATAATATTATTGATGGCGAGTGGTTGAGTATATAAGAGAAAGGCAGCTTTTAGGAGTGATCTTTCTTTACTTCGGAGTAGAATAGGTGCAAGGGGGGATTACTCTTAACTAACTAAGCCTAAAGGCTATCCAGCTTAAGGATTTTATTATTTAGACGGGAATACCCCGTCGGTAGCAAAGGCAGAAGGAAAAGGCAGGAATGCACCTTAAGGGGGAGTTCCTGGGTCACGAGCTAGGCTTGCACCAGCGCTTTCCAGATGCATGGTCCGGATTTATTTCTGATCGTTTGATAACTCGGTTCGTCCTCGACAAAAGGCAAGACTAATGAAGACTACATCCGGGGGGATAAGGGGTTCTTCTCCCAAAGTCCGTCGGGCCGACGACAACCCGCGGCAACCATACCAAGACCTAACGAGAGATTTTTATCTCTCCCTCCGTTTTTGGCGCCAAAAACCAACCTGTCAGCCCGGCCAGGGCGCACGGAGGTGTGTCCCGGAAAAAAAAAAGAAATATACCAATCCCGATCCATTAGGTTCTTCGATGTGTTCGTTTACAAAGTCAGTCAGTCCCTTTGATCTTTCTCCCAATCGGCAATTCTCACAGCTAACTCTATGTGGAGTTTGTAATTCCTAAATTAATCTTTATGTTCGACCATATCTTCTAGAATGTTAAGGATTCTGAGTCGCTTCCCTGGGGAAGCTCTTTCGAGCTTCAGATCCTCCGGACAAAGTTTCTTTAGAACTGTGGAGGAGGTTCTCCGCCCTTTTCTAATATAGAAGATTCGGAGAATCTTTTCTTTTAACCATGAAGGACTAGGAGCTTCCGGCCCCATGACCTCGGTTGGTTGATTCGTAGCAAGGGGCTCCTCCTGGTTTGGGTCCGAAGATGACCCCTCCTCTGGAAAAAACCACTTATCTATCCACGAGCCACTCCACGAGGAAGAGGAGGATGCACCACCTAAGGGGCCCGCTGGAGCAGGAGCTTGCTGTGAAGCTGGCAGGTCCATCGGTGGGGTTTGGAAAGCAGGGCTTTGTTGGCCGCTGGATGGTTCGGGAGCGGAACTTCCCTAACGATCTGAGGAGAGGTTTAGGTACTGTTTCCAATTTCCCTCGTTGGTACATTACAGGTTCCACCCTCACTCTCTCCCTTACGCTGTGCTCTACCTCTCGGGCTAGTTTCAAGTTCGATCATAGACGCAAGCAATCTAGTATAGCAAGCCTGCCTTTCAAAACAAAAGGCTACTCCTTTCTTTCTTTGCAACTGGAATAGAGGGACTGCTACTTCCGAATCCGGGAAGTCCTTCTCGAAAGAGTCATCTAAGGCTTTTCGACTTCAACTTGCCTTTAAGCCGGCCAGGCCAGTCTGCTTCTTCGAGTGAGGACTTGCTCGGCCCAACTCGGTTCTCTCACTACCCGAAATCCTTATCTTATCTAATCTGGATCCGGGCATTTACCTTAAGATCCAGCGCCTGCAGAAGTAAAGTGATAGGAGAAGCTGCTGGTGGGAAATATCTATTCATCACACCCCTCTCACCCGAGCCTCCTGGAAATAACCTTGGTCTCCAATCTGCAGATGAGTGTCTTCCCTCTTATCCCTTCCCCATTGTTTGGGTTTAATTTCAAGAGCTTGCCTTAGTATGAATCCCATCTACGGCTGAGTCAATAGCACCCTCCAACTTTAGTGATTCAATTGCAAACAGAAAGACAACTGCAGTTGCTGGACTAGCACTTCAATTAGCTTTGACAGTATCCGTTGGTGCGAGTGAGCGTTCCCGCTGCATCGAGAATGGTAAAGTCTTCAATTAACCGGTGTAAGCCTATCCACTCTTACTATGAGGGTTTCCGGTGTGCTAGAATCAGCAGCTATAGAATCTGCCTTACCTTCTTGACTGGTGTTACCGGTATGGGAGTACGAGTAGTTGGTGGTGAAGGCAATGATAATTGTCGTGGGGGCTATTACTTGACTTCATGTCTACCCGGTCCCAGTTATTTTTGGTGAATGCGTAGACGCAGTTGGTGAAATAGAAGCTCTTTAAATAGCCTTTGGCTTACGTAAGATCTATCTCTTCTCTAACAGCTATTCTTTGAAAGAGCTTTCGCACTTCAAATAAGATAGCGAAAGTCAAAGCTAGTTCCTCTTCCAATATACTACCGCTACCTTAATCCTATCAAATAAAAATATTTATCCTTTGAATTACTAATATATATCCTATGTATTAATTTAATTTCGCACCGGAAACTATTCTAGGAGAAGTTCGAATCCGTTCCGTTCGGATATTGATCGGTCTTGGTTTGACATGGTTTACGCGTTACTGGTTCCCGGAAGAGTTAATATCTCCATTAGCTAAACCCTTTCTTACCCTGTCTTTGGACTCGTATTTTGTTTGTACACAATCAACGGAGGCCTCCCCGACATATGTTGCAACGTCTTCAATAGCATGTTCTTACTTCGTCTTTCCCTTAATAAGTCATCAAATTTGGTGCTTTTTGATCCCCTGTTGCTATGGGGAACAAAGGAGGAAATACAATCGATTCCTCTATTTAAGTGGTTCTCGCTTCTCCTTGTTCCTGTTCCTAACTCTTCCCCGGGTAGTTCCCAATGTTTGGTACTTTCTATACTTCGTGGGTGCAACATCAACAAATTCGCTCATGATCAAGTTACAACCTAAGATCTATGACCATATTATGCTAACTGTTCGTATTTCGTTCATTCCATCGGTATGCTCTCAGGTACCTGTAATTGTGATCTGTTTGCCAGAACCAAGGGGTCTTTCTGTGGAAACCTTCACGAACAATCGTCGTTTTTTGATGGTTTTTCCGCTTCTCGCCGCTGCTCTTTCCACACCTCCGGATATCTGGTGCCAAATCGTCGCCCGTTTCCTTATTTCTTCGATAATTGAGTTGACTATCTTTGTGGCATCGATTGTACAAGTTCGCGAAGAGGCTGGACGAGTGGAATGAGGGAAAGCGGCTCGATTGACAAAAAAGAAGAGTAGCCCCCTATAACCTGGAAAAGTAACTATAAAAGAATTCCCGAGTAATTCTCAACCAACATATGCGATTCATTCCCGTCTTAAAAAACAAATAAGACTTATAAATCAAGTAGTTAGGAAGTCCTAGACTTTAAGCCAGGCTGCTTAATTATTCTATTGAGTTGCCTACCCTCAGGTCATTCGCTGCCTTAAGCCCTACAGTTTATTCGCTAGCCGTTGTTGGGACTTAGTTAAGAGTTAGCCTAGAAAGGAAAGGCTTTGAAAGCAAGTCAAGCATTCCAATCCCAGCGGATTAATCAATAGCAGTAGAGTCGTAAACAAGAACAGCAGAGGCTGAACAAGTAACTTCCTTAGAGCGTGAACAAAACAATAAGTTAGGTCGTTTGATTATAAAATTCCTACTGTTTGTTTAGGAGATTTATTGAACAAGCCTTCTAAAGGTAGTGCATGTTCTTGTACATTTTCTTATAAATTTTGTTTTACATTTCAATCTTCCCTCTGATGAAATAGTTTTTTCTTGTTAAGTTAACTAAATTTATTTAAAAAATATTGAAGTTATATTAATAATTTATTTGAATGAATTAATTCTAATAATGATATAAAATAATCATATATTAAATTAAAACATTTTACATTATAAACTATTTTATATTATTTTGATCATAAATTCTATATTGTATGCAAATTTTAAATATTATTTATGATTATATTATAGATTCTTTTATCTCCATTACAAAAAAAAAATTAAATATGTCACTAACATTTTTATTCCATTAAAATCACAAAGTGAAAAGGAATTAATCAATTTATAATATATTGTTACCCCTATTACAATTAATTTAGTCTATTGATTTGGTTACCTTGCTCCTAACCATGACTATTTTTCCTTTTAGTTATGCTTCTACTTTTTTTTAATAAAATATTTGATAAATTTAAAAATTTTAATTTAATATCTTTGTAATACTACTTTACAGTGACATGCACTACCTTTAAACTTATTATTAATTGTGTTAATATTATTTGACACGTAGAATAAATGAGACGTGAGAAGAAAAAGAATCATCTTGTTTAAAAATTATTCCTATAAATATTTTTGCTGCTATGATTTAAGTTTTTATTAGGTAGTATAAAATCTAGATAGTTGAAATATATTTAAAGTATATGACATTGAACATAAAAACACTTCTCCACAGCAGTTTGTAGGAGCTTAAGAGGGAGAATCTATTAATGTGGTTAAGGGGATTTAAGCCCCACTAAAAATTCATTTTCTTATAAATTTTGTTTTACATTTCAATCTTCCCTCTGATGAAATAGTTTTTTCTTTTTTAGTTAACAAAATTTATTTAAAAAATATTGAAGTTATATTAATAATTTATTTGAATGAATTAATTCTTATAATGATATAAAATAATCCTATATTAAATTAAAACATTTTACATTATAAACTATTTTATATTATTTTGATCATAAATTATATATTGTATGCAAATTTTAAATATTATTTATGATTATATTATAGATTCTTTTATCTCCATTACAAAAAAAAAATTAAATATGTCACTAACATTTTTATTCCATTATAATCAAAAAGTGAAAAGGAATTAATCAATTTATAATATATTGTTACCCCTATTATAATTAATTTAGTCTATTGATTTGGTTACCTTGCTCCTAACCATGACTATTTTTCCTTTTAGTTATGCTTCTACTTTTTTTTAATAAAATATTTGATAAATTTAAAAATTTTAATTTAATATCTTTGTAATACTACTTTACAGTGACATGCACTACCTTTAAACTTTATATTAATTGTGTTAATATTATTTGACACATAGAATAAATGAGACGTGAGAAGAAAAAGAATCATCTTTTTTAGAAATTGTTCCTATAAATTTTTTTGCTGCTATGATTTATGTTTTTTTTAGGTAGTATAAAATCTAGATAGTTGAAATATATTTCAAGTATATGACATTGAACATGAAAACACTTCTCCACAGCAGTTTGTAGGAGCTTAAGAGGGAGAATCTATTAATGTTGTTAAGGGGATTTAAGCCCCACTAAAAAAACATTTTCTTATAAATTTTGTTTTACATTTCAAACTTTCCTCTGATAAAATAGTTTTTCTAATTTAGTTAACTAAATTTATTAAAAAAATATTGAAGTTATATTAATAATTTATTTGAATTAATTAATTCCAAAGATGAAATAAAATAATCATATATTAAAATAAATTATTTTACATTATAAACTATTTTATAATATTTTGATCATAAATTATATATTGTATACAAATTTTAAATATTATTTATGATTATATTATAGATTCTTTTATCTCCATTACAAAAAAAAATTAAATATGTTACTGACATTTTTATTCCATTATAATCACAAAGTGAAAAATAATTAATCAATTTATAATATATTGTTACCCATATTACAATTAATTTAGTCTATTGATTTGGTTACCTTGCTCCTAACCATGACTATTTTGCCTTTTAGTTATGCTTCTACTTTTTTTTAACAAAATATTTGATAAATTTAAAATTTTTAATTTAATATCTTTGTAATACTACTTTACAGTGACATGCACTACCTTTAAACTTATTATTAATTGTGTTAATAATATTTGACACATAGAATAAATGAGACGTGAGAAGAAAAAGAATCATCTTGTTTAAAAATTATTGTTTGTAGGATCTTAAGAGGGAGAATCTATTAATGTGGTTAAGGGGATTTAAGCCCCACTAAAAATACATTTTCTTATAAATTTTGTTTTACATTTCAATCTTCCCTCTGATGAATAAGTTTTTTCTTGTTTAGTTAACTAAATTTATTTAAAAACTATTGAAGTTATATTAATAATTTATTTGAATGAATTATTTCTAATAATGATATAAAATAATCAAATATTAAATTAAAACATTTTACATTATAAACTATTTTATATTATTTTGATCATAAATTATATATTGTATGCAAATTTTAAATATTATTTATGATTATATTATAGATTCTTTTATCTCCATTACAAAAAAAAATTAAATATGTCACTAACATTTTTATTCCATTATAATCACAAAGTGAAAAGGAATTAATCAATTTATAATATATTGTTACCCCTATTACAATTAATTTAGTCTATTGATTTGGTTACCTTGCTCCTAACCATGACTATTTTTCCTTTTAGTTATGCTTCTACTTTTTTTTAATAAAATATTTGATAAATTTAAAAATTTTAATTTAATATCTTTGTAATACTACTTTACAGTGACATGCACTACCTTTAGACTTATTATTAATTGTGTTAATATTATTTGACACGTAAGAATAAATGAAACGTGAGAAGAAAAAGAATCATCTTGTTTAAAAATTATTCCTATAAATATTTTTGCTGCTATGATTTAAGTTTTTCTTAGGTAGTATAAAATCTAGATAGTTGAAATATATTTCAAGTATATGACATTGAACATAAAAACACTTCTCCACAGCAATTTGTAGAAGCTTAAGAGGGAGAATCTATTAATGTGGTTAAGGGGATTTAAGCCCCACTAAAAAAACTTTTTCTTATAAATTTTGTTTTACATTTCAAACTTTCCTCTGATGAAATAGTTTTTTCTTGTTTAG